AAACTTTTCAAGTGTTCTCCCAATATCCCTGGAGGTTCAGTGTGTTGATAAGCTCATAAAAAGTGCACTCTATTGCTTTAATAAATCTGTACTCAGCTGGTGATGTCTTTCTACATTTATGGTAAATTAAAGGTGACCCTGCTCAGAGGGTAATTTGATTTATATAGATAGCATATAAATATCACTAATACCCTTTTTGGTCCTGGAATGGCTGTGGAGAAAAAGAGTATCAAGTTCTTAAAAGTCAGGCTTCGAAGACAGCAATAGATCACTATAAATTAATCATTTAATTTCAACAAAGCTTCCAAAAATAATATTAAATGGCACAAAAAACTACTATAGTAGAACTTAATTCACCACCGCTTAATCTCACCACATCTCCAAGTTAGCCAGTCAGTTTCTCCTCCGTCCTTCTTTACAGGATTAGCAATGAAGTCCTGAGCATGAACAAACAGTATTGAGGAATTAATTATTGCAGCACATTCAAAACATAATAGCCCTTTTAAAACAACACAATCAATCAGTCATGTGTTGGAGGAGCTGAGGAGAAGAAAACAATTGGTGTTTCCAGTGAAATCCTGTTTTCCATCTGAAATTCCGGAGTGACTTTGCGGGAATCTTAAGTGAAGTTCTGTACAATAACTTAACACGGGGCCTTCTTCCAAAATCTCTTTATCGATTTTCTCCTAAGAAATTTAAACACGATAGTAATTAAAAAGCAAACCATAGGATGACTGTGTTTCCACGCCTTGTACTCCTCTTTTAGTCTTTCCACTGGATCAACTTGTTGAGCTGAATGTGATCTCGCAGCCGCCATTTTGAAATAAGCGCGCTTGAAACAATTTTTGGTCAGTGGTTTTACACATTAGGTTACAAAAACAATAATGGCGGCGAGTTCTTTTTCGTTTTGCGCTAGAAGTCTGTGTTTATTTCCTTCTCAGAAATTTCGATACTTTTGTACTCAAGGTGATTCACACACCGTTCATGTTCCTGTGATGTTGAAAGAATGTCTCAGCTTTCTTGCTCCTCGTGACGGACAAGTAAGTCGTTTTTATTCCTTTTTTTAGCTGAAGTCATGGGTGTCTAGAGTTTCGATTTTCCTTGAAATCGAACCCATAGTAATTCTGTTGTTCCCGGTTTTGGACAAGGTTTCGCATACTTTTAAATGGTATATCTCCTGACGCTCTTTCACTGGCTCTGGCTTCAATTTTAGTCCTCATTAGGTTGCCGTCCCTTGTGGAATTAAAACAATTGCTGTAGAATTTGCAATTTTAGATGAGAGAAGCCGTAGTTATTGTTTACGTCACCTTAATAAGATCTAGATTATAAATTTACCAAAATAAACTAAATCCACCAGTTTATTAAAGTAAACTTTTATACCGTGACTACGTTAGTTGAGTTTGTACATGTAGTTATACAAATTCCAAGACGCTGCTACTGACGATTGAAGTCCTTAGCTGATTTAGTTTTTTCCTGTTAGTTATATGTCTTGAGTGTGACTCAAATTTGTCATTCAAACAAAATTTTCTGCTTTATAAAGGGATTCTGCACTTAAATAACTTCACATCTCCCTGTCTTGCCTTAGTTTATTACTGCAATTTGCATTGGTTGACAGGTGCCATGTTTTGCTCACCTTTTGGGAGCAAAAGGAAGGAAAAAAACTTTGTGGTCATTGGACAAAAATGACAACAAAAAAATGCAATTCTTTCAAAATGTTAGTTCTAAATGAAGAACTATGATATTCAGACAACTGGGTTGGCTGGGACCCCTTTTAACAGTGTCTTTTATCATTAGTTTTCTCCTATTTCTGTCCAAGTAACCCACTTTAAAGTGAGCCAGGCAATTAGAGCACAAAAAACTTAACAACACCCTATCTTGTGGTTACCCCATAAGACCTTAGAGAGGTCCACACCAAAAGGCCAAGGCCTTGTTTCTCAAATCAGGTATCTCTACAATTCAAGTTTTCATTTGTTTAAAAAATCTGGGACAATTGGGACAGTGAAATTACTGATTGTTTGGGAATAACCCAACATAAGTAAACCGGCCTTAATGGTTTAAGTAGTGAGATGAGAGTCTTTTGCACTTAACCTACATGTACACTGAACAATAGTTCGTTGTGTTTTATTATTCTTATAGTTTAATGTTATAAACTAAGGGTAATGGAAAGTTGTCACTATGATATCTTTTATTGTCTTTTGCCATTTTAGGTGTTTATAGATGCAACATTTGGATCAGGGGGACATACAGCAGCAATCCTGTCAAGTGCAAAATGTAAAGTTTATGCCTTTGATAGAGATCCAGATGCTATAGAAATAGCAAACATCCTTTCAGAAAGACCTGAATTCAAAGGAAGACTAATTCCCATGTTGGGGAAATTCAGTAATATCTTTGAAATTTTGAAAAGCCAACGTGTTAAGAAGGAGTCTGTAAACGGAATCCTCCTTGATATTGGTGCATCAAGTGTACAATTTGATAATCCAGAGAGAGGGTTTTCATTTTATAAAGATGGTCCTCTTGATATGAGAATGGGAGAGAGAGATGACATGCTGGAGTCAACAGAAGGCAAGAGGTTGCTGATGACAGCAGCTGATGTGGTGAATTCTATCAATGAAACAGAACTTACTGCTGTTTTGAGACAGTATGGACAAGAAAAAGAAGCGGGTTAGTGGCATTAACTTCCAAATGATAATAGAGGATACTACTCCATTAGGTACTAGCAATGTAACAAAATTGTGAAAGCTGGAAAATACCACCTTGTGGATTAATTACTATCTATTGGATGAGTGTTAATAAAAGAGACACGCTTTGATTTTTAATGCTAACACCTTGCCTTGAGGGAGGAGTCAGAGAGCTTTGGACTTTGAGGGGAGGGTTCCAGGTTCATTGACTGGGGCCAATGTGTTGTGTTCTTGGGTGAGACATTTAACTCTCACAGTACCTCTACAATTGGAGAGTATAAATGAGTGCTGACAAATTGTCAGGAACTGCTAGCATCCCATCCAGGAGTGGTTCATATAGCAATACTCCTCGTCACCTCATTTATGGTGGGCTAAATATGCTCTGAATAAAATATTAACTTCTTTTGATTGCTTAGTGGCTTACTTCAAGTGTAATGTGGCCTATGGCTCTCTTGGATTAAACCTTGGGCAGAGATTTTCATACACATTTATGTATACTAGAGGAAGATACTTTACTCTTGCACTGCTTCTCTCTTAACCCCAGAGTACTCATGGGTTAAAAGTGAACTTTCAGGAAAGCCAATCCTGGTAACAGTAGGGAGGGTAATCTGAACTGGATAAGCACCCCTCCCAGGTGAAAAACATGGCTCATAGTGGGTTTATGTAGGCTGGATTACCAGCCTACATAGATTACTGCTTGTTTGGGAAATAAGCCAGTGCTCACCCCTCCCCTCTCCCCCCCCCCCTCCCTCCCCCCATTGTTCCTTCTTGGGAGGATCAAGACTGTACTCAAAAAAATGGCGGAAATTGAGCCAAGGGTCTATATTTACTCACAAAAAATGGAAAGAGATTCAGCACTGTGGACCAGTCCACTATAGTGCTATAAGTATAACGTATTCCTTAATTTTTGTTTTCAGTTCGCATTTCAAGAGCAATTGTCAGAGCCCGGTCAAAGATGCCGATACTTTTCACAAGACAGTTAGCAGCCATTGTGACTGCTGCTGTTCGTCACAGCCGGTCGGACAGATTTGCGCGACCTATTCACCCAGCAACGAGAACGTTTCAAGCATTGCGCATACTCGTAAACGATGAGCTAAATGAACTTCAGTGCGTCCTAAAAGCGGCGCATAAACTTCTCCGTCCTGGCGGGCGGCTAGTGGTCATTTCATTTCATGCTTTAGAAGACTCTATTGTTAGGCATTTCTTTAAAGATGCGAATTCTGAGGTGAGTTACACGCGATCCAGAACAAACGTGGCGGGCAAAGCGAAAACAAGCGCTTGGTTGCCACTTCACAAGAAAGTTATTTATCCCACCGACGAAGAAGTTTATCTCAATCCTCGCTCACGGTCTGCTAAATTACGAGCTGCTGTAAAAGTGGATAATTTAGTAATGGATTTAACTGAACTCACCAGCTGGTTAGACAAGAATTCAGGGGAAACGTTTTACAATGGTTCAACTCCAGTCTGAACATCTTTGGAGCATTCAAAGTGGGAAACTGTTACTCTTTTTTATTTCCTGAGAGAAGTGTCCATTTTTTGTACTCAATCGTGGCTGTTTTAATGGATTGGATTCTATTTATTGGGAGTATTAAGAAAAACAACTCTTTGGTAATTTTGTATCAAAGGGTGAAATGAACTGGAAAGTTTTGATCTTATCGTCGACTGTAAATGCTGGGAATGTGAAGGAAACGAGAGGAAACATTGAATAACAAAAAAATTATTTTAATACCCAAAAAAAAGCTTCAATACAGCGTTCTTAGCAAAAAAAAAAAACGGGTTAATTTACAGGGTTATGATATACAACTTTAACTTAATTTCTTTGCTGTTACTTTAGATAATCTTCATCCATGTGATTTCCTTCCTTTCTCCTTCCTTTCCTTTTCTCTCCCCTCCTTCCTTTCCTCTAGTGGTTCCTGCGATGATGGAAAAAGAAATGGCATTTATAAGTTTTAGTAATACTGGTCAACTCTAGTCGATAGAGGGAGAATATTTTGGGTTCTTGATGTACCATGTAATTTTCTCTTTTCATCTCTGTTGAATACAGTTCGATACGGTATTCATTTAGGGGAGACACTCACTTCTTCTAAAATAAGGCGCCATAATCATGTTAATTGATTAAAATACTTTTACATCATTGAGTAATCCCATAATGATATTACTAACACCTTTACTATGTTCTCATTTCAATACGACCACAGAAGTCTAAAGCTCGTCTTCTTATCTTGCTTATCTGTATTCGTTCCAGAATAATATTCTTTCAGCCTTTTCTGTTTTTCAAGGTTTTACCATTTTGCTTTTAAAGCTCTCAATTCGATCACGCGTGAAAAGTGCAGGTTGACATGCGTAGGCGATAGGTCATTCGTGTCTGCCCTCTCACGCGCGTCAATCTGTCAATCATAATTCGCGACTTGGCCTGTCGCGGATTATGATTGACAGATTGAACCCCCCTCCAACTTGACTTGTCACGCTATCAGCATAGTTAGATCCCTTAGAAAATTATATCTGCTTACGGCTTTAGAAGTACAGTCTAAAGCTCTGCAAGAAATACCTCAAACACGGGTCTGGACAAAATATTAAAAGGTGGGTGTGAAACATTTCTGTAAATCGTCGCAATACTGGCGTGATGAAAACTGCGAGCAGTTGAGCCTCGTCGAAAGCCCCTGTACAGTTCAAGAGAGATAACACTGGTCAAAAATTGAAGGAAACCACTTTCTATGGAGACTTTGGAAACTGAATTCAAAGATTAACAAAACAAAAGTCCAAATTTTATGCCTCTGAGGTTCGATGATAATGAAGCTAAAAAAATACGATCAGGGCAAAGCAGACAGCGTGCGTGCTTCGTGTTTAAATCAGCCATTTTCAAGACGTCATTGCTCTACCATGGCCACTATAATTTGTTCGCTATGGCGCTAATTTGCACAAGAAAACAAACCCTTGAAGGATTGGAGTTTTTGTGGTCAGAAAAATAATGTCTTCATTGTGTGAAAGGGGCCTGTATTCTGGTATTAAATGACCAAACATAGTTTCCTTCTTAGATCTCTGGTCGGTGGTTTGAGTTAGTCACACAATATCCACAATCCTTTACCAGTATCAAATCGCTAGTTTAAAAAGCTCTATGAAAGCCAATTGACCCAAACTTTTTATGA